TAAAGGTAATAACCAACACCTTATACTGGGCCCAGAAACTAATAGGCACCCAGTGGAAAGATTTTAATACTGGAGGAATGTGGTCTCTCGTAGATGTTCTTGAGACCACTCTGGCTGCCATGTTTTGTACTAACTGAAGTTTCCGGGCCAAGCACAAGGGTAGCCCCATGTAGAGAGCATTACAGAAATCTAGACGGGAGGTTACCAGTGCATGCACAACAGTCTCAAGGTCCCTTACTTCCAGAAAAGGGCGCAGCTGGCGTATCAGCTGAAGATGATAACAGGCACTCCTGACAGTTGCATTTACCTGATTTCTCATCAGGAGCGAGGAATCAAGGGGCATCCCCAGACTGTGAACACAGTACTTTACAGAGAGTGTGACCCCATCCAGGACCAGAGGTTGCAACCCGATTTTTGATTTTGGGGCCGCTACTGTGAGCATCTCTGTTTTGTCTGGATTCACTCTCAATCTGTTTTTCTTCATCCAGCCCATTACTGCCTTAAGACTTTCATTGAGAGAGGAGACGCCATCGGAATTCGAGGCCAACGATTGAGACATGGAGAAATAGATCTGGGTGTCATCAGAGTACTGATAACATCCAGCTCCATGACTCTGAATGATCTCACCCAGCAACTTCATATAGATGTTGAACAGCTGTCCTAACGCCAGTTTGAAATGGGTCTGGATAATCAGTTTCATCCAAGACAGGTTGGAGTTGAAGAACAACCTCCCTCTCGATTACCTTGCTCAAAAATGGTAACAGAGTGACTGGCCTATAGCTGTTCATATCCAGGGGATCAGGGAAGGTTTTTTTCAGAAGCGGCCTAACAGCCACTTGCTTCAGATAAGATGGTATATAACCTTCCCTGAAGGATGCATTGATGATGTCCATAAGGAACATCCTCAATGCACCCCCCCCCCGGATGGCCAGCCATTATGGGCAAGGGTTGAGAGGGCAGGTTGTTTTCTTCACTCTACCAAGGAGCTTGTCCACATCATCGGTACTCACAGATTGAAACTGATCCAGGATAATTTCATTAACAGAGTTACTGGACATCTCGTCAATTGTTTCTGTCATACTGACGTCTAAGTCGGCTCTTATCTGAGAGATTTCATCTGTGAAAAAGTTGTTAAACATGTCACAGCAGGCTGTTGTTGGGTTAAGTAATGGGTTCTGTGCAGGAGGTACCTGCATCAGCTCCCCCACCACCCTAAACAGCTCTGCTGGATGGGACTCTGCAGACACAATACGTGCAGAACAGAAAAATCTCTGTGCTGCACGAATTGCCTCTCGATAGGACCAAAGAAAGTTCCTATGATGAGTCCTATCAGATAAGAGTTGAGTTTTCTGCCAGATGCGCTCTAGTCATTGTCCAACCCGCTTCATTTTCTTAAGCTCTGAAGATTACCATTGCTTCTGATTTGGGGCGGGTTGGAAAGGACGCTTAGGAGCGATCATGTCGATAGTCTTTGTAAGATCAGTGTTCCAGGTGTTAACCAAAGCTTCGACAGGGTCACCAGTGCTACCAACCATTAAACCCTCTGAGGTTTCTGGAATCCTATTGGTTCCATTAGCCTTCAAGGGCGGACCATACTAATAGGTCCACCACCCCCGGTGGGGCGGACAGTGGCTCTTAGTTCAGTCTTGACCAGGAAATGATCCATCCATGAGAATGCGGTGGTTTTAATAACCTCTGCCCATGGATATTCCTGTTTTGTACTAAAGACCGCATCGAGTGTATGACCCGGACAATGTGTGGGCCTGGCGACAGTTGGGATAGGCCCATGTTTGTCGTGGATTCCATGAACTCCCAAGCCGCACCTGATAAATTTGGCAAACTGGTCATGAGTGGGATGTTGAAGTCACCTAGAACCAAAAGTTTGGGTGACTCTAGCAGCAACTCAGAGACCAGCTGTGTCAGCTCTAGACAACAAGGTGGTCGGTATACTAGCAGAATCCCCAAACTATCCTTGGTCCTCAGGCTCAGGTTCATACACTTGAAGTGGACCGTGTTCTGGACAGGTATCCTGGTCAAGGTCAGGTTCTTCTTATGAACCAGAGCCACTCTGCCCCCCCCTCGCCCACTTCTCCTTACCTGCTTACTGACAGCTGGGAGGGCCTGCGTCCAAGTTACGGAGCTATCTTCTCCCAGCCATGTCTCAGTAAAGCAAGCCAGGTTGGCATCCTCTTCATGAAGAAGATTGTAAATAATGTGAGTCTTGTTTTTAACTGACCTGGCATTGCACAGGAGCAAGATAAGGTTTTGTGGAATGGTTGGTGCGCGCTCCAATCCATTCCTGGAAAGAAAGTGAACTGAAGGTAGGATAGCTTTCAAACAGTGATCCCGCCTTCTTTTGTAACATCTATTCACTCTGTTGTAACATCTTTTACATTCTTTTGTAACATCTATTCATTATGCACATCACCATAAAAATGTGGCTTACCTGTTCCCATCAAAGTTCCCATAGCTATGACCAAGATCATAGCACATCTCAACATCTGTATAGTCAAGTCAGAAAGATGAACACTTTCCAGCTAACAGAGAGCTTCAAGTCTGCAGGAAATGTCTGTGACCTACTACTGTGTCCCCAGAGGACATATTAAATACCCTGCCATGGTGGTAACTCTTCTAATAGCCAAGTCAGCACTTCTTTATAGTATCTTTATATTCTTCTAAAGCAAACTCAGTGGAGTTCTCCACTTCTGGTGTCTGTACTGGGGAGCTCCACTTCCAAACGATCAGCTTCCTGTAAGGAAGGATGTTCCTAGTGTTTGCAAAGAGGCTGCAGTCCATGCAGGTCATGCTAGGAAGAAGCTGAATCACCAGGCCAAGAAAATAATGGCCTTCATCACTACTCTTACGCAGGAAAGGGAGACCAAATAAGTTAGGAGCCCATGCTTCTCTGCTAAAAGCAATAACACACTCTCTGGATTTCCAGCCTCAACCCAAGAATTCCAGATACCTTCGCTAAACTACAAATCCCAAAGTGGTACCTAATTCCTACAAGTGTGTAATGTGAGCACACTCATAGTTTACTGTTTTAGCTTAACACTATTGTTGAGTAAGTCTTGTGTGCCAAGGCTTGAGACAGAAAGCAAACAGGTAACTTAAAACTAGTTCTTTATTTTTTAAAGTCAAGTTATTGAGTATCAACTCTTCCAACTTATTTTTCTCTTATAACTATTCTCACAGTAGCAATATTCCTCATTCTGACCATCTTCCCTTTCTCTCCTGCATGCATTAACCCTTCATTAGCATCTTAGCCATTGACAGTATCATCCCTCACAACACTGTCATTCCTAACTGGTGGTGACTGCTTATTCCCAAATAGGGATCATGAGAAACTTTGGTTTAATAAATGTAGTCGTATTATGTAAATGGGCATGATAGCATGGGAAGGGAAGGGAAGATTTTTTTTGTACCTTTTGTACCACGCTATCATTTGCTGAATTTTCTTTTCAGCATCAAAATTATGAAAGCACCTCTGGGTTAAGTAACACTATAAATTACCACTGCCTGAAAGAGCCTTCCATTGTAACCTCAACCATCTTTCATTGATCTCTGTTCAGTACACTCCATCCTTTACTGAAATCTATTCTCTAGTTTTCTGAAAAAAGGTTTTCTTCCTTTCATTCTTCTATATTCTCAGAGTGCTTTAAAAAAATTGGTACAATTTTCTTTTTGTTTTTAGTTTGTGTGTGTGTGTGTGTGTGTGTGTCATGTACCTTCAAATCATTTCCAATTTATGGAGACCCTAAGACAAAACTATCATGAAGTTTTCTTGGCATAATTTGTTCAGAGGACGTCCTCTATTCATTTCCTTCTCCTGAGGCTGAGAGTATGTGGCTTGTCCAGTGGGTTTCATGGCCAAGCTGGGAATTGAACCCTGGTCTCCGAAGTTGCGATCCAACATTCAAACCACTGCACCACACTGGCTCTTTTTTAGTTTACTTTGACATTATGAGGTGGATAAAGATGCTGCATATAGAGAGTTTTTCCCTCCTATTACACAGCTCTCCATCAACCAGCAGTTTTTCATGGCTGCCTATACTTCCTGATGTGAAAAAGTCCAATGGGAAGAGTTACTCCTCTGGAATTTAGATAAAGAATGGGAAGCAAGGGAGGCTGACAACTACTTGGCAGTGCAGCAAAGGACCGGATATTCACCTTCGGGCCTAGTGTAAGAAGAAGAACCCTCCCTCCATTCCATCCAGTGTCATCTGGGGGAGAGACACTAGGCCCAGCACCATCGGGCCTAGTGTAAGAAGAGGAGTCCTCCCTCCATTCCATCCAGTGTCATCTGGGGGAGAGGACACTAGGCCCAGCACCATCGGGCCTAGTGTAAGAAGAAGAGCCCTCCCTCCATTACCATCCGATGTCATCTGGGGGAGAGACACTAGGCCAAGCACCACCCAGCCTAGAATAGGAAGGAGGGATGGGATTCGAATGTATCTGCTTTAATGTTTGTTTTGATGTTTTGAAATGCTGTACGCCGCCCCGATTGCCTAGCAGAGGGGCAGGATATAAATAAAAATTATTATTATTATTATTATTATTATTATTATTATTATTATTATTATTATTATCTGACATAACTGAGACAAATACAAGAACCCTGAAGCCAAGCTGTGAATTTCACCAATTTTTTGTTCTCATTTTTTTTAAAAAAATATTGTTTTAGAAAAGCAATTCATTTGCTGCAACACAATATACAGGTATTTTTCCTCCACTCAGCTCCTGCCTCTTTGTTATTTCAAATATACCAAGAGGAGAGAGGTTCATTCTCACAACTCTCCAAGTTTGAATGACAGTTGCAGCGCATATTCTTACACAGGATTAAAAGCTCAATTTGGCTAATTTCAGAATATGTGCTCTTTCGTTCCTCCAAACATAATCCAGCGCAGCTCCTGGGCTTGAAACCCATTGACAAGATACTCACTAATGTGTCACAGTAAGTAATCTTATCCATCAATGACTAAAAAGATAAAGTTGTTATACACATAATTGCCACATTACACAAGGAGAGAGCAATTTATGGAGAAGGTCTACATAAGTAAAGAAAATCATTACATTCCAGGGAAAGTTATATGGTTTGCCTCACACAGCAAACAATGAAAATGGGAAATTCAGAGAGAAAGATAAACATAAGTACATATGTATATAATGAATGAATGGAAAACAAATGGTTTTTTTAAAACAATAAAAATAAATTTAAAAATGAATTTACTGTTTCACCTATATACAGGTAAATTAGTAAATAGAGTCTCAGAATTTGTTCCACTAAGTTTGGTATCATGGGGGGGGGGGAGAGATAATGTTAACTTAGGGTGTGTCCACACCACAGAGTTTAGCAATTATGATTCCATCCTACACAGTCTTGATGATTTATAACTTATGTGAAGAATATGAATTCATTATTAGAGACTTTTACTGCAATCCTCTGAATTACAGCACCACAGATCTCTTGCAGGGATTCACCAAGATACACATTGCTCATTTAAAGAGCTATCAAATTGCTATAAATGTGCTATAAAATGCTATGAATGTTAGCCTTGGAGGCTAACACACATATATATCTGTGTTTGGAGCTCAAGGCTTTCCACTCAGGATAAACATATAACATTATTTGTCTTGCCATAGAATACTCAATGAAAGAGGAATAAGTTCTTTTTGTACAAGTTCATTGTAATATATGAACATCTATCACACTGTATCCGTACAGGCTTTTTCTGATGCACACAGGACCATCAGTACTGTCAATGACCGTCAGTGGTTGATTCTGTAAAAGGATCTTTCCCATCCCTAGCTAGAAATGAAGAAAGGAATTTTGGCATGCTGAGAGCTGAAGATGTCACCTTTTGTATATACCACATATATTCTGAGTTGTGGCCTTTCTTCCATTTTCTCAGCTTCATCTTCTTCCTTGATAACAAGATGAAAAAGTAAGAGAATTGCACTTGGAAGCATTCTTGTTGGGCTTCTGGCTTTCAGCATCTGAAGACTATGCTGGTTTCATGATCACCCTACGTAATTATTTGATTGTTACCAGTAGAATGCCTCAACAGTCATCCTATTAGTAATTTAGTAATACAATTAAGGTTGGACAATGACATACTTCCTATCACCCAAGCTGATACAACCTCAGTGGATACTAGTTTTAGAACTGGTTTTCTCAGGTGCCCTCATAACTTTAGTTGGCTCTCTACTTCCATGGATTCAATCATCCACAGCTTGGAAATATTCCACCCCCAAAAATACCAAAAGCAAATTTTGATTTTGCCATTGTATATAAGGGACACCATTTTATTACCCCATTGCATATAATGGGACTTGGGCATACACAGATTTTTCGTAACCACAGGGAATCATGGAAGCCCAAGCTGATACCAAGAGCCCACTGTACTGCTCCTTTCAGCTCTGAGGAAGGAGATCCTCTTGGTCTTTCCTCATCCTGAGGGCTTTTGCAGACTGCCAGAAATAGTGCAAATTGAGTCCACTAACTGCCCTGACTCAGTGCTAGGGAATCATGGGAACTGTAGTTTATTGTGGCACCAGAGGTCTCTGAGAGAGAAGGCTCAACGTCTCAGAAAAAACACAATTCCCATGGTTCCCTAGCACTGAGCCAGGGCAGTTAAAGTGGACTCAATTTGCACTATTTCTAGCAGTCTGCAAAGGCCCTGATACTTGTTATAGTTGTTGTTAATTTATATAGCACCATCAGTGCATGTGACAGTTACCAGAATAAAACAATAAAAGAGACAGTCAACCTGGCCAAGGATATACAGTCTAATTGAGGGGTGAAGTAGGATGAGGGCCCATCTAGTCTAGCACTATGTGGCAGCTGAGCAATCTAGAACATATCTAACAGAGATGCTGGGAGTAAATTCTGATGTGCCCTGTTCATGGTGACAGTCCCTATAACTCTGTCTCATAGAAAAGTGAAAAAAGGCACTCTCAATTAGCTGTGATGAACTATACTGAAACTTTTCTCCTGTTTCTAAGGCTACTTTTTGCCAGTACCACTGAGCTATCCAAATCTGTGGCATAGCAGCAGCAAATTTAAAGGTGTACTGAGGTACAGCATCTATTCAGCTAGGGGCCAAAGCACCCAGCCCTAAAAGTTGCCTTCCCCTTATCTGTTTCAACAGTTTTAATCTCCATCAGGAACAGTTTTAATCTCCATTGCTTATTAGGTTAATGCATTTGTATTGCCTATTGAAGGCCACACTGCCCCTATATACTTTTACAACACAATACAGGTTGCAGACACTGGTATATTGCCATTGTGAAAATACAGACCTCTGTGTCCAGTTATTGCAAGGTCTATAGCTAAGCTCAGAGGGAATGAAGGTACCTAAGGGTGAGAAGGAGTATTATTATTATCATCATCCACATCCACATCATTATCATCCCTGTTATGAAATGGTCCCTGTGCCAGAACCCTGTGAGTTCTGGCTTTACTCCAGTGCTGAATTTGTCTCTCAAAAATGGTGCATACAGATGCAGCCTAAAAGTACTAGCAAATGCAGTTTGTATTTTGCCTTTGGAAGACTTTGGAGCCAATCAGACATTTTCAGCAGCTGCATGTCTACATAGTTTTTAGGAATTGCCTTCCCCTTCTCCTTTTTAGTGGGCTAACATTTAAGTCAAGTTACAAAGCCACATAATTCATCATGTACCTGGTGGGCTGTAATACACTGCTTGGCACATTGTGTATTCCTCTATAGAATAAAGGAGGTGTATGTCATTAAACAAATTTGCTTCCTGTATGTAGGATCTGCTTTATTTCAGTGACCTGTATTTTTACCAGCCAGTGCTTATTCAATTATTAGTCTGTAAAGCTGGATGATCACCCCATTTTAATGATGTGTGTCTTGTTTAAAAATATAGCTTTCCAGCTTGAAACATGCTGTGGAGATTTTTGAGCCCTTGGAGCATTTGTGCTTTGTAAAATGTCATTCAAGTCAAAACACTGGTTTCAGATGCCTTGTAATTCAGTGGAAAAATGTGAACACAGCCAGGATTCTGAATTTCGGGGGGAGGGGGGAGTTTGCCTTGGATCTACTTACTGCTAATGGAAGGAGGTGACTTCTACAATTACACATGCTGACTATAAGTCATTGCAGACAAATTCTAGTTTAAACCCAGAGTAACTACAGGCTCATTTAATCTCTCTATTGAATCATAATAATATCCTAATGGAGAATTAATCTGTCATTTTTCTTTGGGTATGGCTCCAGAAACATTTGTAATGCTAAGGAAACAAATATCTAAATTACCTCCTGATGTCTCATCCTCTAACACCTAGGTATTGTGCATGCACCACTAAATTTCAGGCCAAGAGTGATGCTGCTAGCTAAGTTGAAAGCAGTACAAACCATAAATCTCTCTCCCTATCTCCCCCTCTACCCTAAAAAAAAAAAAAAAAAGAATTGTTATGTGTCCACGCAGGCCTTTAAAATCATGCCACTTGTAATCAACTGACCTCAAGGCCTCAAATACAATATAAAGTATGTTTGTAATAACAGATACAATATAAAGTGTGTATGTATGTGGAAAGCCATGTATAGATGGACAGTTTAGAAAACATATTTGATACAGGATTGCCATACTACCTAGCTGGTTGGTTTTGCCCTAATTTTTAGTTGTGCCACCTTGTACTTGTTTTGGCACAAGGTCGCATAGATTCCTATGGTGGCATAGATTCCATCATCTGGACCAGATTCCAAACTTTCATTCAAATAATTTAAAAACAAAAACAAATGACCTTGTGGGAGTGCAGTAATGTGGTAAAATGTGCAGTCGCTCTTTTGTCCAGTAGATTTTGTGAAAAACACACACTCCTCTTTGTCTTGGAATGTGTTTAACCAATGGACAAAGTCTCTCACATGATTTTACATCAGAGGAGATTAGTGCCCTGGCTTTTATTCCCACAC